TTTCCCTAATTGTAATAATATTTTAAACCGTTTGATTTTTGTATTAAAGTTTTTTTAATTGATTGATGATTGATTCAATCAACTAATTTGTTGATTGTTTGATTGTATTAACTTGATTCTTTAGATATTGAAAATTAAATAAATAACATTATGTTAATTTAAGCGTACATAAACGTTGCTGTTGTTCCAGCAAAGATCTTATTTTAACTTTACCGAGTGCCTAGTAGGTAATTCGCAGATTACCTAGATAATCTGCAGATTACCTAGGTAATTTGAGAAATGGAATAATTGTAGCAGCTTTAACGGATCACCCTAGTTAATCTGCAGATTAGCTAGGTAATGTACACATTAACGGATTTCGAGCTTTAGCGGTAACATATACACAAAACTGTTAATTTAGGCAGATGGGCATCATAAAGTTTCTCTTTTCTTGCTTTTTGAACCGTAACGCATCATATCGATAACTCATAATTTCCGTTTATTAAAGCTTAATAAAACTGATTAAGATTTAAATACAGTAATTTAATTTTTTATAACGACACATGCGTAAACGAATGTAATAAGTTTTTTAATTGGTAATTTAAAAAATTGATTGTAATTATTTAAAAAGTAGCAAATCAACGCTTCTTCTTGACTGTCAGATGAAGAATTTTAATTGTCGTTTGTGTTCTTTCACTTCTAATCATAACCAATATTTATTAAAAAATAGCTATGTTTTCATGTACAGTACGTCATTTAATAGATATTAGATTTAATTTGAATTAGTGGAAAAAGGAAAAGTGGCACATAGACGATCTGTCCGAGGATGACTTTCTATGGAAAACTAGTCCCTAGGTGTTAGACACGTAAATAAATCCTGGAAAACTCCGTGCGACTGCACGTTGGTGTTCAGTGGTTTTATAGTGACTCGGCCATTGGTAGGCTTTAATGAGTATTTAATCATACAAATCATGGGTTCGGCCAGACCCATGATTAAAAGCCCTCTTAGTAACCACTAGGCAGAAAGGGCAAAAAAGAATGTCCAACTTGCTTATATTCATAAGACTAGTATATTTAATACTTTGCTTATATAATTTTCATTTACTTATTGATGTAAAATTCTATTTCAGAATGGAAGAGAAACAATATTTGAGCCATTTCCCTTACATAAATTCAAATTGCGGTCTTTTATATCCTTTCAAAATGAGGTATGTCAAGAAATTATAAAACCACTACAAATTTTTGCCATAAACTGCATAACATAATACTGCTCATACATTTTCCTTCGGGTTTATGTCCACGCTTCTTAATGTCCAGGGCAGAACAGAAATTTTTCATGTTCGAACTATATTTTCAAAGCTCTTGAGGAGCACTTCCTGCTGAAAAATCCAATCTTCGCTTTCTAGAAGTAATTCAAATGGAATTAAATGGTTGTATAACATCCGCTGTTAAATCGAAGAATGTATCCTGCCACAAACTCGTAGAAAATCGGATTTTCCAGTAGCAGAGAATGCTCCCCACACCAAACCGACCCTCCTCCATTTAATGAGTGAATAATTTTTTGGCTTTCTTTCGTAGATCGTATCAGTAGTATCTATTGCTGCTGATAGAGAACAGTGTAGTTAGTTATTCAGATGTCCAAGACATGACTTCTTGATCCTATTCTAATCCGCTTCTTTATAGAAATCTCTCAGCTGTGGTGTTTCTTGCAACTTCATGTATTTCACGTTGCTATTCAGATGTAATTCTTCGCAGACAGTGACGTGGGAAGCTTTTCGCCGATTTCATTAACTATTTGCTTTATTGACAAACTATTTCCAGTAGGCCTTACTCTAAGGTTTTTTCTTAATGCACAAATAACAGTTTTGTTTTGGCCAAGCCGATAAATCCTAACGTTAATAAGGTGTTTTGAAAGACATAAATGGAAAGTAAGGACAATAACACAAACCTTAAATCTGTATAATTATTCATTCATTTCAATTACTGTTAAATCTTAATTGTTAGACTCCTGCATGTGATATAATTTACTATAGGATAAGTGCGCTGTAGTTGTGGATCATAATTTAAATGATAGTCTTGATGTTGCGGCTGCAAAAAATATCTGTTGTTTGTATTCAATATGAGTGGTAAATCCTACCAACGTTCCTTTCATTGCTTTTTTCGTGGACCGAATAAAATATACAGTAAACCTGTGTAAATCGGAATAGCACGATACCGGAATCAAATAATTTTTCCGGTTTGGCAGGATTCCGTTTTAAACGGGTTCTTTTTTAACATTGAAAATCGTTCCGTTTCAAAGAATTTTTTCTTTTATGTTGATTTCCTTTTTATTCGGGTTCCGTTTTGGACAAGTTTTACCATATACTATAATTTTGGTAAATATTTTAACATTAATATAATCAGAAAGAAAGAAATACTTATAAAATCCAAAATCGGACAATTAATTACTGCACAATTAAAAATTTCTATTACACATTTTGTGTCCAGTTGCACGTTAGAATATGCGCTGATTTCCAGTTACTAGTGAACAAACGCGCCAAGCATTAGTTTTAAAACCTTTACCGGGCAGTTCATCATGTTATTCCTTAATTATCACCATTTACTAACATGTTATTTACCACTCCTATCGAACTTCATACCCTTTCTCTTAATTGCTACTCAGAGACAAGAACTACGATAGAAAAAATTTCTCCCTCTTCATTTTCAATCAATTCCGTTCCTCTGAACATTTTGATATTACATAAAATACGTCAATTAATTGCATATATTTATTCAAAATAATTATTTTAACATTTTTAGACGGAAACCTGAATTGCAAAATAACTGTTACGTCAGGGAAATGTTGGAAATCTGTTAGTGGTTTTATAATTTCTTAACATACCTTAAGATTTTCGTATTATAATTAATTTTTAAATTGCTAAAATTAATAATGCTAATCAAAAACTGTTTTTCATTATCATTAAACATAGTTATATATTTAAAATTTATTATAAAAAAGCAATTTTTTAATCGTTTTAGCTTAATAATTTGTTAGCTATTTGTTAGCTGCTTTCTTCAATATTCAAGAAAAAATAAAAAGTATTAAAATATGCTTTGGTAATTAGCTAATCAATATTTATTACATGCGCCATCATTTTATGTATTGCTATTAACTTCTTTGTTAGTTAAAAAAATTTTGAAAAATTAGTTGACAATTTAGTTGAAAAATTAAATACATTTTTCAACTAATTGTCAGTATGCTTGTCTTCACCAACTTTAAGCTTTTATTTTTAACATCCTTCTATAATTTTTGCAATATTTTCTTGTTTTCGATTTTATACATATATTTTTATATTGTTTCTCATTGAAAAATAGCTTTTATTAATTTTAAAGGCTTCTAATATTTTATTCGTTTTTATTATTTTATTTATATTTTTCATGAAATGATTTAAATGGGTGTTATTCGTAGGCATTCAGAGTCATGAAAGTAAATAAAGTTTAAATATAATTTCAGAGAGTTTAGAAATGAAATGCTATTATACAAATGTTAATGAAAAAAATCAATCACAGTCTGACAAAAACATTTATTTACAATCAATACAAACATACAATATCACCAAGTATCCAATTTTCGCGTATCGTTCAAGGATAGGGAGCAGAGATGTTGGATTTCATCGAGTCTGCTTGAAACAGCATCTAGAAGAGCCGACTTCCACATATAAACGGTTCTATCCACAGTGGAGGTTGTGTTAATACAGTCCGTTCCGCCAAATTCGCAAACGCGATAATGGTGCAGGAAACCCAAATCGGGTCCCACATTAACCATAGTTCTCCCTGGCGCAAATTCCCAAACAAAATGGTTGCCCATTTCTACTACTCTCTCGGGCAGAACGATACATTTGGAACGTTGTTTGTGGGCATGTAACTTGGTTTTTCTGATAGTCTTTTGAAGAGTTATTAGTTGATAGGGCAGCCCCTCCGAATTGGGATCATTGGGCCAGTGCAGATAGAAAAAAGAATTTTGAAACGAGAAAGCTCCTGCACGGTGGGAACTCTTCTTTTGCAGGAATGCAATCAAATCAGTTAGTGAAGCATTAGCATGTGGTATAATATATTCGTCTAGATCAATCATCAATACGAAACGGTGTTTATACATTGTTCTATACAAGCAATCATTTAAAGCAGCAAACAATCCTTCTGTTCTGATTTCTTTCTGAGAAATTAAATCTAATTTCCAAGGTAAAACGGTGACGATACCTTCCTTGATGTAATACTGGAGAGCACAAGAAACTGCAGGCCCAATGGTATCATTGTAAAGAAAAAAGTGCTGTACACCAAGTAAACGATTTAATTCCACAAATTCCACTAAATTGACCAATTTATTATAATTATAATGTAGAGGTTTGATGCATACTGCGATTCCCTCTGCGGGTGATCCAGATGCATGGTTATTATGAACGACTAGACGATTGGACGAGCGGCTATCTCCAAGTTTTATGATAGATACTTCGTCGGGAATTTGGCCCACGTCTCTCTGTAGTGGACAAAGTATGAAGTAAGCGCTGTACTTCAAATTCCAATTTTCTCGTATGAGTTTGTTAGTAGCATAGACAGCTACGGGAGAACGGCCATTCCTAAACCAGAATTTACACACTACTCTGTCTGCAATACGTGTCCTAGCTGCCGAGATAACTCGAATGTAATTACCTCGCCTGTCATCGAAATATGCTGAAAATACAAAAAATTTATTCTTCGTACCACGCACCATCTGCCAGTGATCAGGTTCGTCTGATATCTTCCAACTATTGGATGTGATGTTTTCTTCTAATAGTCCTTCCGGTCCCACGTCTGACAAAACTCTAGCTAACTCCCTAGCCACATGGAAAGGCGGGACGATTTCTAATCTTCGATTCCTGCCGTTATTGAATCTGTAATCGGAGTAATCGAGTTCTGTATAAAGATGTCTGTAGGAACTGTTCTCGTCCTTGATGAGAAATACTTCGAAAAACAACATCAGAGCGAAAAAGGCCAAGAAGACAGCAGCCATGTACCAGGACAGAGATCGCCTTTCTGCCAACTTCTTGGCCTTTGCCACGCTTTTTGAATCTCGCCATCCTCGAGTCTTCTTGGTCATGGGTTCGATCCCAACCAATTATTCGGAAGTGAAAGGAGGAGCAGCTTTCCTGACGGTCACCACCTGTAATAAAAAGTTTCGGATTAATGAATATCATATATATTCATTTCGTGAGAATGTTACAGCAGCTACATAATATACGTGCCTAGGCAACAAATTAGCTAGATAGTAAGGCAACTATTTGCAATTACTCTTACATTTTAGCATTGTTAGAAAGATCAATAAGGAACAAAATACACAGTAACGCCAAAGCGAAATTATGTAATATTACAGTCACATAAAATACATCGATTCTTAATTATATTAACTTATGTTTGCAATCGATTTTATATTCCGAAGAGAATATCTTATCCATGATAGAGTAACAATATCGCATAATGTTAGTAATTATTCATTTCTAATCTTTACATTTAAATTTATTATATTTTCTTATAATAATATTTTAGATATAAAAATATTTTTAAATTGTTGATGAGAGTAATGCATAATTTAAATTGTATTATTTGTATCCCCGACAGATAGTTTCCCTAAGTGATTTGATTGATATATATTTTATATCTAATAGTATAAACAGAACAGAAAGCATTTCTATAAATAACTTAAGTTATAAAATAATTGACTGACTCATCAAAAGTAAAGAATTCATAAAATATAAATCTCATTACTGTCTAATGAAAGTGACACAGACTTATATCCTGCAAATATTGAATTCCATTTACAAGGTGTAAACAAGCTGTAACAGTAAAACTAGACAATTTAATATCGTAAATTTTCTGACATTTCGGAGAATATCTTACCAGAAGCTACACTCGCATTCTTCAATATTCTTTTTATTGGATCGATATGCAATTTATATGCACAACGCTTTATATTTCCATAAAACTCTATTTTTACACGATTAAAATTAAGTATTTCTAGGTAAAAAAGACAAAGATGAACTATCCGATATAACATTCATATTAAATGAGCTTACTTTGAAAGTTACATATTGAGTTATCAGATTGTTCATCAAAGGATAACGTTTTTTCTCTTGATTTTAAGAATAAGGAAATTGATCCTTTACTTTATGAGGCAAGAATAATTTGATTTCAGGAATAAAAAGTTCTTTACTTATTGTTATAGGATTTTTGTTTGTTTAAATTAAACGATAGAATTTTTAGCTGATTCAAAAATTTATCTTACCAATTTTTGATAAATATCAGTCAAGATACTTTCTTAAATATAATTTAAGATTAATTTTATAACAGGAATTTTGTTTTACTATTGATTTTTCAAAGTAATCAATAAATTTAATAATATTAAAGATCATGGGCACCAACTATAAGAGGTCAGAACACATTCGGGCCCAATAAAATTTTATATGGTGCCGAGCCCCCAAAGTTAAAAAAATTTTTCCACAAGAATATGTAAACTCAAGTCTTAAATGGACTTAAAAAAGGCAAAATCAGTTTAAAAACCCCTATTTTTTAAATTAGAAAATGAAATTATCTATCAAAAGTATCCATTTTAAAATCATAAGGATTGAATTTCGGATTGAAGCAGTTTCTCACAACTGCACGAGGTTCGACCGATTAGCAGACATCTTAGAATTGATTATCCTATATTATGCTACTCTTTTTTAGGTGATTAATTTTCTAGATAAATTGTATAATAATAAATGAATCACTCATATAATTTATAAATTAATGTATTGCATATTAATGAAAATGCAAACATTTTTGTAAGTTTTTTAAAGAAGATTCTCAAGAATTGTAAAAAAAAAAAAATTATTTTGTTGTTTGTAAACTAAAGTTGAAGATTTGAATAATGAATTAATATGTAAATTCCTAAATTAAAGTAGTTTAAAATATGTCTATTATGGAGGAACTGATCTAATAAAAAATTGTTTCTATTGTTGGAACTAAATAGGATTTTTGTACAGTAAAATTTTAATTCAGTTTATCCTTCTATTCATAAACTGTACAATACTTTAGCCATTCTCACAATATCTAACAAGATAATAATTTTCAAAAGAATAGCGATAAAGGTTTTACAGGGTTTTACAAATTTTTCAAATTGTATTTATATAGTTGTCCCTTGTAGCTTTAGTTTTCTTATAAAGTATAAAGTTTCTTAATTAAATAAATTATGGGTAGACTATATGGGTGCGTGTGTTTTAATGAATTATAACTTCGATATTAATTAATATGAAAAAATATGCATAAAAATGATCCATCTTGTTATTCTGTTCATTTTACTGTTTGAACAGTGCGTTTTTATATCTATTTCTAAAGCGAATTTGTGAAGAATTTTCTCCAAAGAGAAGCATTATAATATATAAAACTAGATTATTATTATGTTTAACACATGGTTGTATAAAACGCGAAATTTAAACGATTAGAATGAAATTAAGTTAGTTAATCAATTAAATCGAGCTCAAATCATCAGTTAATTTAATAAAATATCCTATTTAGTATACAAAATAGTCTTTAGCTTAACTTTATGGAACTAACTGATACTTTTATAAATTAACTTAGAACGATACGCGTTAACTTTTTTATTTATTTATTTATTTTCTGGAATGATGAGTTAGAAGTAAGATATATAATTCTGTTATATTATACACTAGCTGTTACCCGCAGCTTCACCCGCGCGGAATTTGCAATTTGATAGAAATAACCCTCCCTCGATACTTCACTAAGATTCTTAACATTAGTTGTTACTATAAAAACAAAAAATCGCATCTAAAATAATACAGTAGAAGACGTTCTTCAGGTTAAGCTTAATTCTCTCCCTCTTCCCCCGCGGGGGAATTTCGAAAAATCCCTTTTTAGTATGCATTTTCATGACGTACCAAATTTCACTTCTTTAGGTTCAGCGGTTTGCTCTGGGCGATGATGAATCAGTCAGGACATGTAATTTTATATATCACAAGTTCGGACACGTGCACTGTGTATTTCGCCGAACACGCGACTGCGCCGCGCGGTTACCTATCTCGTATACGTACGCTTCTTGCCCCTCGCCACCCGCTGACACCAAAAATATAACGCTTACCACCCACCAAAAATATAACGCTTATATGATATATTTTAATTTATATGAATGTTTAACGGAATAATATACAGCCTTTGTCAATCCTGAAGGTCCATTCTAGATATTGGTGAAAGAATTTTTGAAATCGGATGAGTAGTTTCGGAGATTACCTTCAACATCCAAACAAACTTTATCTCTTTATAATACTCGTATTAGCATAGATAAAGTATTATAAATTTTGAATAAATTTAAAATACTTTACGTTTTCGTTGTGAATTTTATTAAAACATAAAGTATAAAGCTCTTAGATTATCTTTCGACATTGCGTGTACGTACATTGTCTAGTAACTATTAATTCGGTTATTAACTTGATAATTTCGTAGATCCAGTTTCAAGTAATTTTCATCAAGAAGAGATATTTTACTAAACTCTTTAAATGCAAATATCGTGCAATTGGCATTTGAATACTTTCCATAAATCCATTAATTTATAATTGTTTAGATATGCAAATTATAAGGTAGCTTTCTTATAAATTGGCAGAAAATTTGAACGTCTTTTATAATTTAAAGAGTTTCCTATTCACAATTGAAGGAAACCCAATTGTCATTAATGTAACCATTAGTCAAATAATTTTGACAGGCATTAAAAGTTATTGGGCTGCAATTTTAAAAAAAAATATAGACCTATAAATAACCACTGTCGTCCGTCTGGCTGTCTGCCCTTCCTTAATCTCAAGAACAAAGTTAGATAGACGGAAGACGAGACCAGATATAGAAAGCGTACAGGCAGAAGACCCCGGTTAACTATACACGAACTTCCGTTCTAGATCAGAAGTCACATTATTTCAATTGAAATATTTTCCCCTGAAAGGCATTAGATAGATGACCAGCACGGACTCTATTCCTAACAGGAAGGTATGATGTACAGGGGCAAGACACTACTAATTTGAAGTGAAGAGCATGTATTTTAAATTAAATAAATTAAAAATATGATTAAAATTGTAGCCCGGCATTATGACGATGGAATGACGAGAATATTTGTTATGTGTAAGTCGAATATTTTTACGTATACAAATATTTTTTACGTATTGCAAATACAACACTCAATTGAGATCATTAAAAAGTCTATAATAATTAAGCAAAATCTGAACTTCATCCAAATCACGTTTTCACAAAATAGAAAAACAAGATTTTATAGAATGAAATTTCCTTCACGAAAAGAAGAAATTTATATTCTAAAGACATAATTTTTCACTATATTTTTAATATATTTATAATTCTTATAGATTATGTTTAAATATATATACAGTATATAATTTGTATTTTTTTTTAATGAGAAAACTTGCACTAAATTTTAACAGTAAGAATAATATTTGGAGTCATAACGTGTTAAAATTTTAATGAATAAATCCATTAAAACACTTGAAAAAAGTTAAATCATCTTTTATGGATTGTCCATTAAATGATGTAAAGTTTAAGTTCATTGTATTTTATTCAGACAATTCGAAGCACTTAAAAATTTAGTCTAATTGAAAAGAGCAAATTTTTTTAAACTTTAAAAAAAACATTTGTTATATTTTACATGAATTCTTTATTATTTTTATATCAAAGAGAAGCATTATAATATATAAAACTAGATTATTATTATGTTTAACACATGGTTGTATAAAACGCGAAATTTAAACGATTAGAATGAAATTAAGTTAGTTAATCAATTAAATCGAGCTCAAATCATCAGTTAATTTAATAAAATATCCTATTTAGTATACAAAATAGTCTTTAGCTTAACTTTATGGAACTAACTGATACTTTTATAAATTAACTTAGAACGATACGCGTTAACTTTTTTATTTATTTATTTATTTTCTGGAATGATGAGTTAGAAGTAAGATATATAATTCTGTTATATTATACACTAGCTGTTACCCGCAGCTTCACCCGCGCGGAATTTGCAATTTGATAGAAATAACCCTCCCTCGATACTTCACTAAGATTCTTAACATTAGTTGTTACTATAAAAACAAAAAATCGCATCTAAAATAATACAGTAGA